AAAGTGGTCAAAATGACTGATTCATAATTTTTTTTTAGATATATCACAGATGCAAAATAGTCTATTTTTAGAGGTTTAAATGATTTTTTATAAAATACACGAATAAAAGTTTGCGTATTCTATCGTATTTCTATCTTTTTCGCTTTAACAACGTTCTCTGACGAAAATTCTATGCTTTAGTCCTTGGCAGTTCTAGTGTTCATAAAAGAACTCATTTCGATATATTATATAAAAATCGTAAATTTTCAATTGTCAATTCCTCCTCTTGCCGCCTTGAAATTTCCACTCGCTCAGATATTTCTACAGGAAGCCGAGACACGAAACTTAATACCTGACGTCAGCCTAAAGGACGTTCCACGTGTGATCGTGAGAATCATCGTTCTCCAAGATACTTGGCAGAGGGATTCAACAACGTCGTTCGTCTTCGAATTTTACTCATTTCTCGCTCGTTCGAAACTGATAACGCCGAGAGCATCGTGGAAACTGATGTAACTTCTGTCGGGAGAATCGAAACGATATATGTACGTCCAAAGTATGGCAACGTCGATTATAATGAGTTTCACGGTTTCATTGGATTTGCTCGTATCAGTCGCGCCTTGCTATTATACATCTGCCGTTTAGTCAATTACATCATAAATCCCAATTGAATATTCGCCATCTCCTCGTCGAATGTGTCATAAATCATTTTTAATCTCAGCATTACGGATGGCTAAAGCTTCCTGGTATTCCCGGTGCTACAAGCGCGCCGTGTTAAGAAATTATTAATACCTTTCGATCCCGATGCTCGTCCTGTTCTCGCGATCGTGTGTAACGTTGTGAGAAAATATTTTTCCCCGCAACGTAAACTCTCTATAAACCAGAATTTCAGTTTACTCGAAGAGCGAAAACGTGATTAATTAATTGCAACTGCTTGTCCCAATTTAAAGTCCAAGGCATAATAATAATTATATTATTATATATATTATTTATTATATGATATTAATATTATTATATTATAATTTATTAATGTATTATTATATGATTATTATATATTTTAAATATCGAATTAATTTGAAATGTAATGACGAAGCAACAAACATACAAAATAAAATTTTCAGAAATGATATCACTTTCAAATTACACAACGATTATAGATGTAGGTACATGTTCCATTTTACTTTGTCCATTATATTGCTTTACCATTTCACTGATTATTAGAAAACACAATTTGACAACTGCATCACATTATTTTCTTTCTATTTTATTACATTATCATATCATATTAGGTTCAGATTTAAATTTGGAGCAAATAGCTAACAACTACTTAACAACCTTCCTCCCAGAGAAGAAATTCTGATTACCTTCCTAATCTTAGAGGAAAGAAACCTTCTTTCTAATTTCTTCGCGTATTCCTAAAGGGAGCGTGAAAACAGTACGTCGACGAGAGACAACGATACAGGATCACAAGAATTCGATCTTGCCTTTTTTTGTCGCCGCTTTTTGCCCCGGCCACAGATCTACGATCGAGGAGAAAAAAGAAAGCAAAAAAAAAAAAAGAAAGAAAGAAAGAAAGAAAAAAAAAGAAAAGAGTGGAGAAAAAAAAGCAAAGAGTCGAGGACCCGACGAGTTAAACTCGATCTCTTCGCGGGCCCTGTTCGACTTTGTATCGCGCTCGTCCCAAAAAGTGTCGGAGCCCCGGTGTACCGTTTCTCGGGCGATAATTCAGATTTAAACGGGAGAAAAAATATCGGAGAGAGGCGAAGAGCATCGGTGAATAGCGGTGACGGGGAGAAGCAGCGCGCGGGAAAATGCTTGCCTCCCCGCAGAGGGTATCGTAGAGCGGAGGGTTCAGGTCGTCGCAGGTGGATGCTTGCTTTTGGACCACCGTGTAGTAGCCAACACGCAGGCGGGGGTCTTATAATATCGCGTCATACGAAACGATGAAATAGTGGCCGTAGCGAAGGAATGTTCCCTACCACTTGAGTCGTCGAGTTGAGAGTTGACTGGCGTTGCGTGGCTCTCCCAGCTCTCCCGGCTCTCCCGGCTCGACTCCGCTCACCACGACTGCTTTTAACCGGTGTGTCTGTTCCTCGACACTCGCCTGCCTAGCCTTTTTTTCCTTCTCTCTTTCTCTCTCTATCTATCTCTCTATCTCTATCTCTCTCTCTCTCTTTCTTTCTTTCTTTCTTTCTTTCTTTCCTTCTTTCGTTCGCCCTTTCGTTTCCCTCTTTCTTTCACCGAGCTTCTTTCCTTCGCACTACGCCACGTATATTCGCCTACGTTTACGTCTATTTTTTACGCGCCAACGTTTCTCGGTATACGGCACGAGTCGCGCCGTACCTATTAAAAAATGCATCTCTGGAAATGCACGAATCGTTACAATGTTGCACCGCGGTAACACGGTAGTATGTACGAAGTAAACAGTAAATATCGCCGTAGAACGCGACTCGGCATCTTCGGGAGAACCGACACACGCTGTGCTCGAGGGGGAGGGGGGACGAAGCCAATAATCGAGGGAGCTCGACTCCGTAAAATATCGAGAAATATGATTTCCATTGAGAAATACTAAAATTAATCCCTGGTATCCCTCGATTCTCTCCTCGGTTATTATTTGCCAGTTCACAGAATACAGAAACGAGGATTCTATTCGCAACACCGCTTTTCACAAAAGCCTCGATAATTACACAACTTAGCTGCTGGTTCTTGCACCAGAGTCCTTCGATTGTTCCGTCATTTTCATAGATCATTGCCGTTAAACTGATATTTAACGAGAGAAACGGACATCGTGGAACCGTAAACTGCTTGTTTGAAACGTGCTTCTTCGTCCAGTCGAAAAATCTCTCCAACACGCGCGCGTGTGTGTACGTACATATCTCGCGAGATATAATTAAGCTAGATCGAAGCAGATGCATCTTCTTCGTCCGGTGCGCAACCACTTGAACGACGCGGCGGTTGCGGCTACGTATCGAGGACTGGCTGTACGTGAACTTGTAAATGTCGATGCGCGCGATATCGCGCGGAGATAAGGATCAGAAACGGAACGGAGCGTCTCGGTACGAACCGGAACAGCGAACGTAGGCACACGAGCGAGCCCACCGAAAGGAAGTTTGTCGGGGGAAGGAGCGCGAGATTTTCGAAGCGGAGAAGAACGAGCGAGCGAGCGAGCGAGCGAGGAACAGGCTGCGGAGAGAGATTCAAAAGGTGCTCAACAGCCCAAGCGTGGGCTACTCGTGATCATCATGACAAAAGCTCCGGGCAAACATCCATTCAATTTATTAGCTTATAGGCATGCCGTCGTGCCTACTATACACACCACCTACGACAGACACCACCACCAACCGCTTGTAATGCTCGTAACATTATGGCCAGTCCGCAAGCGGACGGTTCTCGCGCGACCCTCGTTTGCTTCTCGCCTCTCTCTCCTGGATCTCTCCCGCGATGTTACTCTCTTTCTCTCTCTCTCTCTCTCTCTCTCTTTCTCTTTCTCTTTCTCTCTTCTCGCCGTACAGTTACACTTTTTACGACGCAAACTTCCTACGGTCGCGATATTTCTGCCACAACGAAAGAAACGTACTCGACTTTGCCACCCTAACCGCGACCTCTTTCCAAATAATCGGCGGAATTCCAAGGAATTTGCCCTGTCGATCGTTTTGAAGTTGGCGCCGGATCGCGAATGTATCTGCCTCTGTGTACCATTGGCGTCTCGACCGGGCGAAGTATTGCGTGCACGCACACGTCTAGATGCGTCACGTACCACCCTTTGTAATTACACGATAGAGGGCCAATCACTTTCGTTTCTCGAGACGCGATTTTCAAGCGAGATTCGATTTCACTGAAATCGCTTCAAATCGCACACTCAGCTTCGACCTTCTTCCAAAAATGTCGAGTCAGCTGTTTTACTAAATTGCTTCAAATATGTATATATAGCTGTGATCGACGATGGAGACAGAATGATTGACGAGAGATATTTTGCTCCGGAAAATCCCCGAACGTTACAGATGGACGATTATTGACGTGCATCGGAAATTTTTGCCTCTTTCTGCGCGCGTTTAAAAATCCCGTATAAAAAAAAAAAAAAACAAACGAGTTGAATGGATCAAGAATCTGACAACTAATAATTGTGTTAACAAATCATACATTTGGTGTTCTTGCAAAAATATATTGAAGTACCTACAACGTGAATAAATGAACATATAACCCTTTAACCGTATCGTTTTTAGTTCAGGGAATCTCCGAATATAACAGCTGGATAAATTTGAATGTTAATCTGACAAAGCGTGTTTCTGTTTTAAATTGTGTGTGAAGACTTTCAAGTGTGACTACATATTCGTATTTAAGCGAGCTCTCGCGCGCGAATGCGTCTGACGCTCGCTGGAGAACGACGGTCAACGTTCAGTCGGACACCGCGAGATCGATCTGCGCGAACGACGACAACGACGGAATATTACGTTTCACAGGCTAGCAGCTTCGACGCCCACGATTAACGAGCACTGCCGATGATAACGTCACGCCTACGTTCCACAGTAACGTCACGTACTCGTTTTACGAGGCCATTTTCGGCTCGCGCGGCAACGTCCGAAATCTCGTCAACGGCGTCCCCGATGCCTCGATGCCAGAGCGAAACTGCCGCGATTCCCGCCGGTGAAAAATGACGCTGTAATCCGCGAGCATTGTCCACGTCGTTGGCATCGGTCGTTCGTTAAATCTTCCGTCTTATTCCCGCGGTGCTTATGCACGACCACGTCCGGGTCCACGCTCTCGAGGAAACGCGCGAATGTGTGAATTTAGCGATAAATAACGCAAACGCCCGTTTCGCTCGCGTGCGGTACGAGACTTTGGCCGAATCCTGTCGATCCAAACCCTCCCCCCCCCCCCCCCCCCACTGAGACTTCGGGCGCAACGTTCGTTCGAATGTCACAGTCGTAAAAAAAACGCGGTAGAGATCGATATTCGACCCACATTTGGTTGACGAGGGTCCGCGAAACACGCGGCTCGTCTCGCGAAATTTCTTTCTTTCTTACCTGGCCGTGCTTGTCCATGTCGTTGTTCGTCAGCTTGACCTTTTCGAACGAGACCACCTGCTTTCGTAGCTGATCGCCGGTAAACGGCGAGTCCGGGTGAACGTAGAGCCGCGCCGGCGCCGGTGGATCCGCTTTCCCCGCGACCAGCCAACAGCTCCGGTGGTACGCGTACCGGTATCGCTTGTTGTCCACTGGAACGATGTCCATCAACACCGCGTACCTGCCCTCCGATTTTAATCCGTTGAACGAGACGCGACACGTCGGGAACATTCGTCTGGAAAAGAACGAGAATATCATACATACATACATACATACATGCAGGATGCAACTCACGTGCAAATGAAACGTGATCCACTGACACATTCAAGACGATCGGTGATCGCAGATGCTTATGCAATTTCATATTTTTATGAAGATGATTGAAAAAAAAAGAAATGGAAGAATATTTTTACCTGCTGGTTATTATAAAAGATATTGTATTTCAATTTTGTTTGTCAGCATGTTACTATTATTACATTATGTTATATATTTATTACGTATGAAGACTATATGTACATTTTTCCAAGTTATTTGCGTGCTTGAAACAGATGTTCAAATGCATAAAAATCAGCAGTAACTAACAGTTTCCATGAATTTTTCCATGTTCTAGAATTTATAATAACGTACTGCTACTGAAAATGTAATGACACGTTATGAAACAACGTAAAAAGAGAAAAAATTTACTTCTCGTGGCTGAGTCCCGAATGTGTCAACGTTTAAATAACGAGATATTTTAATGATGATTTTTCCTCAGCCTTACGCCACACACTCAACCAACTATTAAACTTTTTTCTCTGTTTCTTTTATAGTTTACACTAACATGCTAGGACTATTAAACTGGTTTGGTTATCTGGGACTATTAAACTAGTAATTTGGTCTAGTAATTTAGCATTAAGTTAAGTAGTGTAGTACTTAATATAATTAATAATTAGAAATTAGTGTAATTTAATACGATTTAATGCTAATTAAGTAACGTTGAATTATTAATTTTAGTAAATTAGTAATAATTTAATACTTAGACGGGTAAATTAATGTTAATTATCTCTATCCCGCATGTTTAACTGTAAGCTCACTGTTGCCTGTAATTTTTTTGTTCTATATATTATGCACATTTATACCAAAAAGTCCTGTACAAGTCAAGTTAAATTAAAATTGTCCAATGTTCTGTTTCTTAATTTTCTAGCTATAAAAAAGCATTCCAAAGATATTTATATCTTTATTTTTCAAGATTTTATAGTTTAGATTTTATAATTTTAGAAAATTTAAAGAAATTGTAGAATTTACAATGCACGTACCTACATACATATTCATATAATAAGTATACTTAACATCTATGTATGTATATTTACACTTGTAAAATACAAACGTATGTATATTATTATTCATACTTATGAATATACACACGTAGATATATACCTATGTTTCACAAGTATACAAATATACAAGAGACATTGCACTGAAGTTATCGGTCCATCTCTCGTCCCTACGAACCGATTAATTAAAATTCGACGTTTAACCTCGGCGAAAATGGGAAACCACTGCTGAACGCGACGATCAAACCGATTGATCGGTAAAACGATTTGAAAAGAGGAGAAAGAAACGGAGAAAAGAAAAAAAAAAAAATGCGTGCAACGAGAAAACCACGGCGAAGCGTTTACGGGACGAGCGAATCGCGTTTCTGAAAAGCAGACACAGTCAGGCAGGCGAAAGAGCGACGCGTCCCCGGAGGTTCCTGGCACGACCGATTCGTTGGCGAGCGCGTGTGGTGAGTTCTCGAGTTTGAAAGCAACGCGGAGGCGCGTCTAACTAGTCGGTTTGATTGAAAGGAGCGCCCGCAGGCCTTTCAAGCTTCGTTACGAGCGAGTCACCCTTGAACCTCGTTATATGCAGTCAACTTTTCAACACCTCCAGCGTCGAGGCGCACGCGTCCGACAGATGCGCGTGTTCGTTGACGTCGCCACGATCGGCGCCCAAATACACCGACCGTTTTGAAACCCTTCCCTCCTCTTCCAAGAACACAACGAACGAACGAGCCTTCTCGAGCCTACTCGAGTTTCACACTGAGTTTCAGCGTCGTCGCGCGAAAGAAAGATGACTTCGCCGAGGCACGCCGATCGATTCGTCGATTGCCCGGGACCGTGCAACCCGCGGAACAGAGTGTGTCGACGAACCTGCGTTCAGAACGTCATGTCGATCTTGGATGAGCTACCGCCGTGTATTCGAGCGAGGATCTGCCAGGAAGACCTGCTCGCTGTGCTCATGAAGGACCAAGAGATCGAGCAGGAATCAGTTAATCCACTTCCGGTGGAACCGACGAGGGAGACTCGGCCGGAACCAACGCAGAGACCGAAGAAAGATTTGTCAACGTCGAGTCGTTACAAGCCGGACAATGGGAAACCAGAGCGAGACAAAGACGCGGATAATCCCTACCCAACTGAACAGATGATAGGGGAAGGAACGCAGACGATGGAAGAGAAACACGTGCAAACTACGGAACAGATTGTTCACGAGGTGACGTCGAGATACAGATCGGTGTCCGCGGGAACGAGAAGTCTTCGCCAACGGACCGAGGACGCGTCGATCCTGGCTCGCAGTATCGCCAACACTGGAATACGCGGAATACGTACGCTCGGATCGACGAGAATGCCGTCGTGTCCTTGCTCTCTGATCAACACGGCAGTCTACGTCGGTTTGCTCCTTCTGCTGGCGATATTCGCCAGGCACAGTCCGACTTATCAAATTTTTCTGTCCAGTCAGATCTGCGGAATCCTCGCTATACTCAGCTGGAAATTCTCCGGCAGAGTTCCGATATAATATTCACTGGATTTATTTTCACCGGTAACGATTTGCTTTTTATTCACCCACCCCCAACGCGTTCTTGTCTTTCTCGCTATTCTCTATTGTCGATATAAACACGAGGTCCGATAGATGAAAGACGAAACTGTGCCTGTGACACTTTCGAATTCAGGAAATTACAGTTTTGAAAATATATTTCCTAGCTACCCTCCGTTGGAAATAGTTCTATAAAACTACAACACTGTTTGAGAATCTCTTTCGATGAAAAATTGACTTCTTTTCAGCACTAACTCGGTCTTCGCGCAGATGCAGCGAAATATGACTAATGTTTAATTATTCCATGTTGATGTTGAAATTGTTGAAGCTACATTTGATAATTATTTTCATAAGTTATATGTCGATAATGTAGGTTGTTGTGACAATAATACACAAAAGTAACAAGGTGGTTTACTTTCTTGGCATGACAAAATATTTCGTCACACGCGATTGAAGAGTTAGTCGAAAAGCCAATTAGTGCGTCACTTCTCGTTAAAAACATCTTTTAATTATCGATATCTTCAACTGATGCAAGAGTTCATTGTAATATTATCACCAATACAGCCATCACAAAATTACAATTAAGCTGTTTCATTTATTCAATAAAAATATATTTATTACAACTAAACTGTTTCATTTATTCGATAAAAATATATTTATACGACACAAGTCATTCTCTAATAGAAAACAACTTGCACTGATTGGCTTCCAAGTCCTCCAAATAACGCGTTGCAAACGCAATAATTGTTCCGATGCAAAAGTTCATCCATCCAGTTTTCGCCTACATTCGAAGACGCGTTCAATTGAACTATGAGCGCGGGGATCAAGTTGAGTTTTGAAAACATGAATCAAGATATCATCTAAATACACATAACTGTTTCCTTTCATTTCTGAGGTTCTTGAGCCACGAAGTGCCTCAAGCCTTTGCGACGAGCTGAACGTTGCAGCAAACGAGACAAATCGTCCGAAAGTCGACGGGTGAACTTTAACGACGATCACGTTGAAAGCCACGAGAACGCGACACAAATCGTGCGCGTTCATTGAAAGGCGGTGCCGATCGGTTCGAGCCCTCGGTGACCGCAAACGCCGCAATCGCCTGAAAATCACCAACCGCAAAAGATCGCTTCACGGATGAACAAGCCTTCTCGATGCCTCTACCACTGTCTGTCACACTCTCTTTGAAACGATCGCGATAACGATGATGGAACGTCGCGCGAAATTCTATTCTTTCATCCGTGGCCCGAAAGTAGATCTCGTTAGGTGTCTTTTGAATGGGTTACCTCGCGCTTCACTCGAAAATATGCACGACGTGACGACGCGACTCGCGCCATTGAAGAATCGACGATCTCAAGATCTGCGTTTACGGCAGGTTTCTGAGTTGATCGTCTTCGAGTCGTTTAATTAAAAGGCTCACGCTGTCAAACTCTCTTCGTTTGATATCTTATCGACATCTCTGATTAATTTTCGATATAGTTGCTCGACAAAGAACTCGCCAATGTTTGCGCAATCGTTTCATAAAATTCAATAAAATCAATTTATCGATTTCGCATCCGCGTGGAACTTGCAAAAATTCTAATCTGATCGGATTATTAACTCTCTAACCTACCAACGACAGTTTTTCTATTCTCCTTTCGAACAATTGTTTCTTTCAATCCCTTCTTAATAAGTCAATCGCAATTGTTAACGACAAATGTAAACTCTCTTTATACGCTTGCCATGGTTAAACGACAAACTATCGAATGATTATATAAACGCACTTAGAAATGTATAAATGTAAAAATAATTTAAAAATATATATATATATATTTTTGAGGGTGATATGAGAGTCAGTCGTCCGACCAAAACTTGTCTAATGTGAACGCATTACCAGAAAAACGAACGACCGTGCGATTACCGTTTCGCCACCCTCGGTCGTTTCAGAATCGCCCCTCTCTCGAAACGAATTTCCAGCGTACAACGATTCTGTTGTAATATATCATCGAGAAAATTAACCGCCCCGAAGGGTAGTTCCTCCTGCGTTCAACGATGGAACAGGAATATATCGAAACGCCTATTAAGTATCGATAGTAAGTCAATCTAGCTTTCCCCCCCGATCCTTCGCCCTCGTCCCCATTTTCTCGTCGCGCTCCTACACCCCCGTATACATCTCGCGCGTGAACACGATCGGCCTTATCTTTATAGAGAATCACGACGTGCGAGTCGTTGATTTGTTACCTACTGAATCGCTGGAAATGCAACAACGATTTTTTTATTCAATTTAGATAATAACGCGCGCGTTCTTCGTCGGGCGTACAGTCTAATTCTTCGTATCCTGAGTTGAGAGCGTTGCTTTATACAAACGCGACAATTTTTCGTACTGGTCGCAATGATATAGATTACATCGAGATATAGAAGAGCGTTATTAGCGTAATTAAATTTTTGTTACGCATTTATAACCTGATGGTTTTAATGAACATTTGTGAATGACACAAATATCTTCACGTTTAAAAATCACGTTGTCAGAATGGAGTGTCGGGTAATAACTAAGAAACGTTGTATTCTTTGTTGAGACATTCGAAAAAATAGGGCTTCACCTAAGCGAGGCTCCTCTGCACATCAAATCACTGGAATCTTCTTTCTCTTTCCTCCAATGACGAGAAAATTATGGTACAAAAATTTAATAAAAACGTCGGGTTAGATTAAACGAAAATTATAGAACGGAACAATAAAACTAAACGATTCGTACGATCGAACAGAAAAAGATCGTTTGCCCCCTCTCTCTCTCTCTCTCTCTCTCTTCCCTAAAATGGCTGTCTCTCGTTGTACCGCGTATTTCCCTGTCAAATTAGGCAGAAACAAACAAGCCCTCCATGGGCCGTGGCTAACGAGGCCATAATCGCAGGAACACCTCGACCCCAAAGCACCCCAACAGCCTCGAAATATACGCATACGCGCGTATATACACATACGTACAAACGCATACGTACATCTGGCTTGTTGGTCTATAGCGGGAGCAACGTATATACATTTCAGGGGTGGAGAGAGAGAAGAGAGAGAGAGAGAGAGAGAGAGAGAGAGAGAGAGAGAGAGAGAGAGAGAGAGAATATATAGTATACAGGGTGTTTCGTAACTTGTGGGACCCGCTTCGGGAGCTGATTGTATGCCTAAAAATAATGAAAAAAAAAAAGTCATATAAATATATGTCCTATCTGTCTTCGTTTATGAGATATAATGAATTTTATAAACAGAGTAAACTCTAGTAAGCTAGTTTCACCAGGGATGGTACATTCAATTTTCATAATAATCATAATTGGGCCCACATGTTATTGTGCATTCGACACCAGTTTAGTTTGAACAATTTTCATAATAATCACAATTGGACCCACAGGTTATTGTGCATTCAACACCAGTTTAGTTTAAACGTACGGGCAGGAATAATTGATAAATTTTTAATTGGACCTTTTTTTCTTGATGGGAAACTAAGAGGCACAAAGTACGTTGATTATTTGAGCACGCGTTTACACGAAATATTAGAGGAAGTTCCAAGTCGATATTAGATTATTCGTATGCAGTTTATGCATGATGAAGCTTCGCCGCATTTTAGCCGAGTGGCTAGGCAATTTTTAAATCAACACTTTGCAAATAAATGGATCGGTCGTGGAGGTCCTATTGCATGGCCTGCTCGTTCCCCGGATTTGAATCCATTAGATTTTCACTTGTGGGGACATTTAAAATCTATCGTATACGCAACATCGATTGAACATGCTGAAATACTACGAAATAGAATAGAGCAAGGCTTCCGACAAATTNGAGAGAGAGAGAGAGAGAGAGAGAGAGAGAGAGAGTGGTCGGAGAAGCCATCAGCCCCGAGGACAGAACCACCAGCGGAAGGGCTGCTACAAATGGATTACGGAAGCACTGGATATTATAGCGATCCGAAAGGCCATCCGAGTTACTTAAATGTTTGCCAAGCTAACGACTTTGCAACACCGCCAGGTGTTGTCTCTGTTATAATTATGTCCGTGGACTCTTTCCGTGTCGCACCTAGCTACTCGAGGCGGTCCGTTCGATAATTAGCACGTTTTTAATCTTTATCACGTATAGGCGTGTATATATATATATATTATGTTCGAGTGAGTTACGTGAGAAACGGAATCCCCGTTCGTTTTTTTATGTTGATGTATGCGCATATTTGAACGAGTTTTCAGTTGCAATTGAAAGAACTCTCCGTGGTTCTCGGGTCGTTCAAGAACTGTACCCGTCGAGACTTCATTAACTATTAACTACGTGTTGATTAATATAATAATACCTACTAATATATATTATTAGTTACGGCGAAGTATGTTGTTAGTTTTATTAATTGATAATCTCCTAGTAAACGGGATTCCGGTTTGCAGGGGTTAATTGTTTAGTCCAATTAAAAATCTGACAATCAACAATCGTTATAAATTATCGTTATTAATAATATATATAAATAATATAATAATATAATCGTCGTTATTAATAATTATTATAATATATTAATATATTATTAATATATATATAAAATTATTAATATATTAATATTATATATATTATATATATTATAATTATTAATATATTATTAATACATATAAAATTTTCAAGTTTTACGATGTTATAGAAGATTAAAACGTACATTTATCAACCATCATCATCATTTAACTCTGGAAATCCCTGAATATTAATTCAACAAATTTTATTGACATATACAGTATTCAAAGATCGTGAAGACTGTTTCCAACATCCTGTTGATGTATCCTGTACAATTATGTTCGCATCGAGCGCATGTTCAGACGTGAAATTGGACGTTTCTTCTCGGTTCTTTCTCTTTGTGCCGACGTATCTACTCGAGTTTTGGTTGCAACCGTGAGAACAACAGAGTAACAGAGACAAATAGACATTTTGCGGTTCCTTGTCGTTCCCACTCGCTCTTCCTGCTTCTCCATCTCTCTCTCTCTCTCTCTCTCTCTCTCTCTCTCTCTCTCTCTCTCTCTCTNCTCTCTCTCTCTCTCTCTCTCTCTCTCTTCAACTCGCACACCAACTCGGCCCTCGCGATCCTCGGCCTCTTTCTCTCGTCTTCTCTGTATCGCCTTTTCATTCCTTCGGTTGTTCCGTGCGCCGTGTTTCGCGATCCGTGCACGTTCTCGCGTAACATGCACGTTCACCCTACCGGGGCCGGGGCACGTGTGAGTGTATATAATGTAGGTTGCTGGCACCTTGATGAAGGGTTCGCGTGACGAGTACCCTCTATCCGCCGGTATCCTGTCTCGCTCTCCGTTGACCTGCTCGTCCACACCTCCTATTCTACTCGCTGCTTCGCAGTCCACGCTTACCTACTTAAACTTTGAAAAATATACACTCGTCGCGAGGCTGCCAACAGAGCCGCGCGTTCTTCGATTTTCGCTACCTTCCCGCTGTGAAACTTCACGAACAACACCAGCGCAACGGTAGTGGCGAACCAACGTGAAATTCTCGTTCGAGAACTCGTTTCCTTAACCCGTACGCGAGACCTGCCTCCCACCGCCCACCTCGATCGTTTCACTTTCCACGATTGACATCGAGAAGAGGGCCACGGCCTGTTGTCGATCTCTGACGAAATAAAACGAAAGGAGAACGAAAATAAGGACCTGCCGTTGGGTCAGGTGAAGCAAGGATCAGCGAAAACTCGTTGATTATAGGTTACGAGAGAAAAAGATCGGCCGATCTACAAGGAGCGAGAGAGATCTCCGCGTTCACTCGGGCTCGAGCCAGGCAACCGCGATACCTCGGGCTTTCTTTCCTTTTCCTCGCAGCACGCGTGAAATTGGCTTTGTTCGCGATATTGAAATCGAATATAGGCCTGTGTGGAAGAGACGACGACAACGCGGAGGGAAAAGAATTAAGAGGGAAAGGCGAGAAGGGAAAGAGAGAAGTAGAAGAAAGAAAGAGAACGCTTGGCGGGTGCCAACGTGGGAAAAAAGAGACCCCGTGAGGTCTCTAGTCCTCGAGGAAGAATCAGAGGAGTATATGGTGCTGGGCGCCCCGTAGGGCCAGACAATTCCACCTGATTGGTCCGAATTCGTATTGTCACTCGAGAGACTGACGTTTTCGTTCAGCTGGGATTTCGTGCCAAGTTTCTCGTGCTAACGACGCTATTCGTGCATCGCCGCGTTCTTGATATATCGATCGTGCCTAGAAAGAAAGTCGAGCCAACGACACGCCCTGGAAATTACTTCGAAATACTTTAGATTACCGATATTGTTTCGACGAAGCCGGCCGTCTTGTGTGATTCTGCTCGCTGAGATGTTTCGAGAACGGGTGCACGTGCTCGGATGGATTTGTGTTTTTTTCTTTTTTTTTTTTTTTTAATTTCTGGCCAGTGCACGCGTCTCTCTAACTTTCACTATCGATTTTCGCTATTGTGTCGAAGTGACTCTCGGAAATTATACCTACGTGTAATTTATACTCTAACGTGTATTATTTAATATATTTAATATATGTGTAATTTATAATTTATGTTTCGTTCATATTTATACGTATATATTAATTATAATATAACCTTTTCGTATGTACACGGAAATTATACACGGCTACCTAACCTCCCGAGTGTTTCAACTTGATACTCGCGAATTTACGCGATTGCAAAACTAGCATAAAGCAAGACATACGCGCGAAACTCAATATGATAAATAACGAATTTCGTTTAAGTCTCTTGATCTTTCTACGAGATACGTCAACTTTGCTGCAAAATTACCACTGATAAGCATGCAAAAGTATACAAGTACAATTTATATTGGTTTCGTAGGAAAGCAATATCTTGTAATGTTCGAACGTAAGTGTTAGTGTTGGATTTTGGATGTGAATGTTAATATGTTTTGTCCTAGAATGTGCATTAATTTTATTTTCAAATTACGACCAATTTTATATTGTTTAATAAAACTTGACCGATACTCTTTTAATCCACCCATCAAAGAATTACGCACGACTGCCACCGAAGTCTCGCCTCTGGAGCCATTTGTCACGTTTGACTTTTTTTCGTGTTTGAGGGAAACTCATACACGAATCGTCTGTTCGCGTGTTCCCAACTACGACAGCATTTTGCCGCACTTCGTTCCACATCGACGGAACCCTCGCATCGCGCGATACCCGTTAATTACCCACGTTTCGTAATTAGTTGAGAGGCTAATTTGAAATGTCGACTGTCGCGAGCGATTAACATTTAAAATTACGAAACAGCCAAATATTCTTTCGCTAACAATAAACAAAGTAAATCACTGTTCAATTGCGTGTCGCAATTTCATATCGCGATCCCGCACTTCCCTGACGTTGTAATTAGGTGTGTTTGTTCTGGACTTTACGCTGAATGCATAATTGCGACGTGATAATTAACAGGCAACGTACTATGAAAACGAGTAACGTTCGCGTATATTTTCTCATCGAAAGTGTCAAGAAACACGCGCTATTCTTCGCTCCTGTATCACCGCGCAAACAAAACGACGTAGCGTTTCGTAGAAAAATGTATGAAACGTAGGCAGAAGGAACGAACGGGAGTTAAACAGTATCTAACACGGGCGATTTGCTCGCGGTTTCCCGATAGGCAGGGTGATATCATTTTAAAGCTATCAGAGGAAGGTGTACAAGGGACAGCGCGTTAGACCGGGGGCCTCCCCTTGCGCGCAAACATCTCGTAATTTCAACGTGGTCACGCATCCTTAGAGCGCGCAGCTGCGGCCTCCGCTTTATTAGCATACCTATAAAAATGAAGGTAGACGCGCGTATACGCGCGCATAGGGACAAGGAGAGAGAGAGAGAGAGAGAGAGAGAGAAAGAGGCACAAATTGCCACCGATAAATTACACCGAAAAACTCCCTTAAATATCTCGTAAAACGTCGGTCAATGAAATCCATTAGTTCGAGTACCCACGTCGGATGTTTTGTTTGCGCTGTCGCAATTTGCCCGGTATCCGTCGGGGAAGGGTGCTTACGAAGCTCGAGAGGACTGGCTTTTGTTCGAAACGCGCTACCAGCCGCGTTCACGCCGCGATAATTAACGATCGTACACCGGGGCCGTAACGGCGCGCCGTGACGCTGCCTAATTACAGCCGAAAAAAAGGAAAAAAAGAAATTTTATTTTCCCGTTATTAGCCGAACGCGCGTGTTTCATTCGGAAGTGGTCTCGTCGTTTGTTCGCACGTAGTAAATCGAAGTCGTAAACCGTGCGATTTCCTATGAATGTCGAAGACACGCACGTCTGGTGTATTTAAAACGAAGAAACGTGTTACTGTCTCTTTTTTTCTTTTTCTCGTTCTCCGTCTAAAGGTTCTCCATCTAAGCGCGCTAAAAATCATTTCAAAACAACCTTTTCGGAGATTTCTTGATTCAAAAGATTCTTGACCTGTTAATTGAAGAAAGAGGTAGCTTTACTTCTTCCTTATAAAAACGTCAAATATGTCGCGAACAATTAGAAATGCAAAATTTGAGCGTTAGAATTTAAATACCCCCTTAGTGCTTTGCCAATAAAAATTAAATCGAATTCGCTTAATCAAATAAAAGTAGTATATAATGAAATAAGAACACGCTTCGTCCAACCGAGGAATCTCTTTATAAGAAATTCCACCAATTCGATAGATTCGCTCCAATTTCGAGGAGACCTCTCGGTTTGCCGAATGTTATCTAGCGCCTCTCTCTCTCTCTCTCTCTCTCTCTCTCTCTCTCTCTCTCTTTCTCAAAAAAAGGTCGACAAAGCCCCTCGAAATGGAAGTTAATTTCCAAGCGAGACGAATATCTCTCAATTCCCGATTCGGGCATCCTCTAACAGTTGCACCTGCACGCGTCACGCGACCTTACTGCTCTCGTTGTCAGTCGCGCGAGACGTTAACCGATCGATACGTTTCGCTTACCTGCCAGTTTTCGTGATGATCATCTCCGTGCCGAGGTCGTTGAATTTGTCCCACAGCTCCTTCGTCTCGAGATGACACTCGACGTCTCGGAGCTCGTCGGAATTGCAACTGGTTCGCAGCCGGTGTTTCCGCTCGTGTTCGTTGTAAACGTCTTGGCATTTCCTCGCGGAGGACGTCGTGCTCAGATCGTCCGGGACACCGTGAACCGGCCCGTCGTCGACGCTGCTGCACTCCTCCACGTCCACATCGACCTCCTCGTCCTCCTCCTGAGTCGATTTCTCCGTTCCCTCGCTCTCGCCCTCGCAGTTGTCCACCTCGTCGTCGGCGAGCAACGCCTCGTCCGTGACAACGGTCGCGGTCGCAACTATGTTCACCGGTGACGTCCTCGTTCCTGAAACATTCGCAATTTACCATTAGTTTAAATCGCGACATTTACTGCAGTAGGCTTAACCTCTTGTCTCGCGATTTTCTTTCCAAACTTCCTAAGACAAATATTGACCGTTATGATAGAAGGGTCAGGTGTAAAATAATCGTGCTTGTCGTGTCGATTTGTGCTTACTAATTTGCAAATTAGAGAGTTCGCATTGCGTGGCATTGTTTTCTTTTTTTTTTTTCAGACCATAATTCATACCACGAGCGTAACTCAATTTTTTCAGACAAGAGGTTAAAGACCAGAAGTTATTATTATCTGTAATTAGAAGATACCAACTCAATGATCCGGAATTGAGTGAAATTTGAAGATTTTAAGTTAAAAAAAATGAAAGAGCTTTATCCCCGTTGAGTAGATTTATTTCTTTATTATTATGTCATTTAATAAAGTAGAGACTGAATTATAGCTGTATAGTGGATAGGCAAGTCCAAAATGGTACTATGACTTGACAGTTTTGACATAATGTAAGAGTTAAGAGTTGTTCGACGAGTTGCTAAGTTTAGTTGCAAAATAGAGATCCAAAATGAAAGCCGCAGTGTATTTAAGTTTCTGTTATTTTGAGAGTTGGTAAGTTTTTGTACAACTTGATCTAATTATCGGATGTAAAAATAATAAAACTATCGAGGAGAAATATGAACGAGCTTATAATATTCATAAATGTGACTGTTTCTTGTCATTGTGACTTCTTTTACATCCAACAATAAAATATTCAAAATACAATATTCCGTTTAACATTTAGTAGACCATATTGCCAATTATGTATCAACAAAAATACAAATTTCCGCAGTCTCTAATTTTCTTGAATTTCATAAAATTAGATTCTAAAGTGATGAAAAAATACTAGACGAAGCTTTTACTTAAAAATTTCCTTTCGTTGACTCAATACCAAGAAATGAAATTTGAACCAGTGTAAATTGATTGAACTAAAACTCCAAGTCGAAGCATCCAACTGTTCAGAAATAGTTCTGACTGAATCATTTCAAACGAAAAACGGTGCAATGCAAACCGACGAAATTCCAACATCCTCGTTTTAATCCTACCAGCCTCTCAAACTCTTATATCCCAATCTTACTTTCACTTTAGAAGACAGAAGAAGATTTAGAATATTTTTAAAGAAAGATGAAAAATCCTACTTAAGAACTTTGTACGCTTCGCTCAAACTTGAGGCATCTTTTCAACGTTGGAAAAATATAAATGACCGAAAGAACGCAGACAGAGAAACACGATTTCGAGGGCAAGTGACACACAAAAGGCACAAAAAAAGAGAAGAAAAAAAATCACCATCTCGCGCATACGGCCTCCTTGAAAAATGACAAATACCAGGTCGAGATGAAACGGAATGATCGCGAAAACGCTGTTTTTCATCGCGACGCGATTGCCATTAAGCGTGTCGATTTAAAGCGAGCGAGATGAACTGAAACGATACGAGAAAGCCGAGTACAGGGGCGGGGGTTAATTAATCGAACAGAGCGCGCATCTGCCACGAAGGTGGCGCCTAATTAAACCGTCAGATTTCAAGAAAGCCAATCCACCGCGCCCAGTGTACACAATGTTAATTGCGGCCGTCACGATACCGATCTGTTAATTTGTACTATTCCGCGCGAACAATGCGTCTTCCGGCGTCGTATCTCAAATTGGATCCGCAAGTGATACCCGTGCGTTTACGCATACTCTGGCGCACACGTGTCGCGAGCGATAAAAAAAATTGCTCCTCTCGAGAAAGTGTACGGGCGAACACCGATTCACAGGAGAAACCCTCCTCTTTCTTCTTCTTCTTCTTCTTCTTCTTCTTCTTCTTCTTTCTTTCTTTCTTTCTTTCACACACACATTTCGCCAAACGACTAAACCATATACAGTGGATGTAGAAAGTATTCGCACGCTCAATGAAAAATTGTCGATATCTTCGACTCTTTTAACTTGGCGAAGAAAAAAATCTTGCAACAAGTTTCAAGGGAAACTTCGATTCTCGATACCGTGGTGGATTTAGTCGTGAAAGAAATTTTTCAATGTTCATACAAAGATGTTTGAATCAGCGAAATTTACGAGAGACGAGGTAGGCTTTATTTAACTCCTCCTCGAAATAATATTTTTTAGAAACAATATTTTTTAGAAAAGCGAGTTCAACAAGTTGCGAAACTAGAGGAGCCCAGTGGATCTTTATAACTGTGCTTTTTTTTTTTTTTTATTTTCGCAGCGAAAGTGATAGCACTGTGAATGAAAGAACAATATAAGGATGATTTCAGAAGTTTCATGATGGACAGAGTTTATTGGATAATTGACCATATCCAAATAAAAGTTTGATAGTGAATTGTTTTACGCATCAGACGTTATAAAAAGCTTGGAATTTTATGTATATTCTACGTGATTTTGTATCCCTAGATTTTCCACGAGGTCCGCAGTTCACGGACAACAAGCGTCGAGCGAAAAACTTTCGAGAAACACTTTCGATCGGAGCTCGAAACGACTCAGCAATCAAATTTCTAACGAAACGCTTCGTTGCGAGACCGAGCGAAGAGAAATAAAAAGAAACTGGCGTACTTCCGGGCAAGAAGCAAACGAAGATACCATTAAAAAGCGGAAATGAGTGTCGGCAACGACGTTAACTTAACCGATCTCGGACGAACGATTCGACTTTCGAATGTCGCTTAACGTCACGACATCGTGATACGTGCATGCAACGTGAACGCACGTTGTCTCATACGTCGATATTCGGAGCTGGTTGCTACGTTATAGTGTGCAAACTCGTTTTTTTTTTTATCAGTAGACGTGAAAAGAGAGGCAGAACAAGAACGGATGATACAGAAATGAGAACGAAGCTATCTAAAGATATTAAGAAGTAAGCGAAGTAATAACATAGTTTTCGCACGAAAGTGTTCCAACGCTTGTAGATAGCTTTTATAAACGTATTATGTACGTACATTTTGATATCTTTGACATTTTCTTTGAAACTTGTTGTAATTTTAATCTGATACAAAAGATTAGAAATTGTAGAAATTACCTTTTACTAGGATTTTCATCTAATGAACTTCAAAAACGTATCTTTTCCTATTAATAAGTTATTAAATTTCCTATTATTAATTAAATTAAATATCGCGACGAGATCTGATTGTCATGAATTATAATATATGATTATATTGGCCAAATCTAAAAATATGTATAAAAATTACAAGATACACGGTGAGTATTGTGTCAATATTAAGTGAGTAGATACATTTTAAATACTTGAGACGATTATTGACGCTGCATATTAATTCTTTGCTAAATTTAACTTAATTAACGAGGAAAAACCTTTAAGACTACCACGTAACATACTTGAACAATAAAGAAATAACAATAATTATAACAGTAAAAATGTCACATATTCTTATATACATTTCTAGCTACATATTTAAAATATATGCAAGTTTGCAATAAATATCTCGTGACCTCTATAAACATTTACAGATTCGTTCTAAATTTTATCAATATAACATGCAACAGACGTCTCTCGATAAAATGCTTATGTTATTTAATTTCAAGACGTTTCATACAATACAGATAGGAGATATTAAAAGTTATAGTTCGAATATCTTCGTAAGTTGCTGTACGTACGTACATATGTATCTACATATGCGAGTGAATGGACGTCACCGTAAGTTGAAGAGCTAGGAAATATATAGTCATCGACTCTAGCGAGGAGAAACGGTTCTGCCCCGTTAAGAAAATTGGTCGTCCGGGAGGGTTGGAAAGACTGTAATTTAAAGTTAGTCGCCGTTCTAGAAGCATTTGATATATCGTGTCGCTCGAATTGTTTCCGATAGCCGTTCCGAACGCGTACGAGCGAACGTTTTCTCAGCCGCGCGTGCCCAAACCGGTTTTTCGTCAAATTTTCGACGACGTATTTGACAGATACAGCGCTCGTCCAATTACTTTCACCAGTTTCTTTCTAACATTCCGGTGTTAAGGTTCCCAGCGATTTCTGACGATCTCTGCTGAGATTAAGACGAGAGCTAGCAATTTAAAATTGGCGCACGGTGGTCCCGAGTGATGATTTGAAGATCCGAAAACTAAAGAGAAGACACTAATTGACGGTGTGATTCTCTTTCTCTCTTGTGCATAAGGTAACTCAACGCATGAGGTAACTAATTCGTATAAATAGCATTTGTTCGTAAGAAGTACGATTCATTTATCGTAAGATATTTCTTTGTATATAATATTCTATCTAACAATAAGTAACATTTCACCGTGAAGAAACAAATTTTATGTCACTTATTTTTCTCCAGTCCGTATTACGTTTGCCCACTTTTTCCCGATCGTAATCTTCGCCACCGGTCATGAATATGGTTTCAACGTGTAAATACACACGTTGTAAATGAAAAAAATGCTACAACGACCGAGGTTCGGGAACCAATTACACGCGTTCGTTCTAGCATATCCCCCCTGCTATCCTTCTCGTCCCGTTCTTTCCCGTATTTTCACCTCACGCTGAAAAGTGTTTGCCGTAAATAAATAATACCCACCACTGTATCTGCGGACAATCGTCTGCCGGCCCGCGCTGAACTTCAGACGGCGGCGAAGGAAAACACGCGTCTCACAATTACGATAATGAAACAGCGAGCCCCCGTTGGCGAGTGGCGTCGAAATTTAACGACGCGGCGGGGAGGGGGGAGGGGGAGGAGGAGGAAGAGGAGGACGGAAGAATTTCGAGGAAACGGATAAACGCGTCGACGAGAGAAAGAAGAGGGAACGCGAACCGCGTTAAAAAGGAAGGTGAGCTAACAGCGCATCGCGTGCGTTTCTCGCTGGTTGCGTGCATCATCGCATCTGCGTGCATGGTACGCACTCACGCACGGCCGCGGCACTTGTCGCGCACGCACGCATCCCCCTTTCCTCCCAACCGCGCTCGTTCTGCCAGTACTTAGGTTCCCTAACTCTCCCCGGAGCCTCCGCCGTGCACCGAACTAACAATAAACGCGATTCGAAAATGCTCGAATCGTCCGCGCGTGTGGACGAGTGAAAAAGAGGTGTAATACACCGGTGTCCGTGGTCCGTGTGTGGACGAATTCGACGATAAAATTTCACGATTTCCTTATTGAGCCATCGCGAGCGGTGGACTGGTTTCGTGAAACCGCGTGGCGTCGCTTCGGAGCAGCCGGTCGGCCCGACACCATCGGGGAAAGCCTGGAGTGTTAAAATTAACACCTCAACCGTGCGTGTTGCGTGCGTTCCCTCCCCCTCCCCCCGACCGCGACGTTCTTTCACGACATCACGCGTTCGCGGTTTTCATCTCGAATTCCTGTTTCTCGTCCTATGTTCTCTCCCCTCTCGCCATCTCTATCGTACACGTACGTTTTTTTTTTTTCTCTCTTCCACGCGAGGTCTTTCGTTTTCGGCCCGACGAAAGGAGGAGAGGAGCGCGAGTTAACGCGCAACGCCATCGTTCCAGCAAAGGGTATTCTTCGGAGGTCCACCGAGTGGCACTTGCAAGGCACTCGAGTCGCGATTTTAATGGCCAGGTACACGATCGAACGAACGCAATAACAACCTGCTAACGTTCCGGCCGTGCCGTGGTGTGGTGTGGCATTAATTAACGTTGTATAACCACAACACGCGACTCGTTGCGACGATACGTCTTCGAACGTTCGAGCGCCGTGTTCCAACTGCGACTGAATGAATCGTGGATGTACGACGATGTTTACCCTTGAACGACGCGAGAATTCGTGGAACACGAATTTGGTCAGACGCGGGTCAATATCCGTAGAGATTTCCACGAAGCGACGTTAATCCATGTGGTAAACAGAGTGACTTCTCCTCTTTCTTTAGAAATTTCCCAGTAACATTTCCTTTCTTCCTTCCTCGTCCCCGGGGCTAATCTTTTCCTCTCGACACACAAATACAATTATTAATTTGTTTGTTGCTTGCTTTTAATATTGTCCATATAGTAAAGAAAACGACTTCCTCCTTCTTAGAAATGTCTTAACAACTTCTCTTTCCTCTGACTTGTTCTCACGCCAATTTGTTCTTTTCTCTTCGTATGTAGATACATTTATTAATTTATTTATTGCAATTCTCTTACTTTGTATAAAATAACAATCAAAATCACTGCTTGTTTCTATTATGAAGAATCTAGCAATAACACGTAGTATGCGAAATAAAGCTTGCAGTGAGCAATAGGTTATCACAGTCGGATTCTCAACGAAACAAAATTTAGGTACACGTGTGTAGATTTTCGACTGCGCGAGCTGTCAATATCCTCAACTTTCGCAATGTGAATCGAAAGGAAGAGAAAGAAAGAGAGAGAAAAGAGAGCGTCAGTTAGAAGTGTGAAGGTTAAAAGGGCTCGGGGAGAGACGTAGAAATGAAAGGAACGTCAGAGATGGGAGAGAAAAAAAGGAGGAGAATCTCGGTTTTGGTAGATCCGAAGGGGATCTCGAATAGGTGCTGCGTGAGGGCGCATGTCTTACCGGAAGCTTTCCGGCCAACGGAAGGAGTTAAAACTCTTGGCCGTGGCGTGCCAAGAGGTGGTCCCATGTTCCATGATCTTAAGGCAAGAAGAAATATGACCGAGCTACTGACGTCAGCTTCCTTTTGCCACGACCGACAGTCGACCACCCAGAATCCTGTCACCACCCGGCCGTTCGAAGGATGTTGTTCAAAAGGATCGACGGAACGAGCCGAATAACGATCGCGTTACACGAGTTGACGCGCTTCCTTCTAAATTCCCTGGCTGGTACCTACGACTAAATGCTCGAGAAAGAGAGAGAGAGAGAGAGAGAGAGAGAAAGGGACAGTAAAAGAGAGGGGAGAGAGAAAAAGAGACAGATGACGAGGACGAGATAACTCGCGAGCGTCGGGATTCGGGCACGAAACTTAAAATGGTGATTCGAGTGCCATTTACCCAGTGGCATTAACGTTTATCGTTAGGTGAATTTCATTATTAAGTCGTTGAAATATCCTCCGGGTGAAGCGGAGAAACACGCCACATCGCCCCGAGCTTGAATCGATTTCACGTTGCCCCGTTTCACTGCGGCACACGCTTTTAACATCGGCGTGTTATTAATGCAAATTCTTTCTCCCATTATCCGGTAGCATTGCGAGATATGTGTATTACCGCAACGCGTTTCGCGAAACAATGATTACAGACGGCGGAGGAGCCAATAGTGGTGTACCTATGAATCTAATTGCAAGTTCGTATTTAATGTTCTCCACCTCGCCCACTCTACTCCGTGTGTACGCGGGCAGAACTTGTTCCTGGGAACGATTAAGAATCTCTAGATTGCTACGGGTGCTGTAATGGCGTCGTTAACGGTGCTAATGTGATTACCGGCTGAAAGCACCGGACGAGTTCTCGAAGACAAAAACACCGGCAATTTACGTCGCCTCCCCCCCCCCCCCCCCCACTCCTCCCCCCGTAGAAAAATCGTTCGTTGGCGAATGATACTTTTTCGTTTCGAAATTAACACGAATCCCGTCGTCCACTCCAACCTGATAATTTCCTTTCCACTTCTTCGTCTTCAACCGCTCCGACCGCTTATCGCTACCGAGTAAATAATTGGCCCTCCTCGGGCCAATTATTTATTCCTAACGACGCGAAATTCGAAGAAAAACATCGGTAATAAAGCGGGCAGGGGGATGATCGTGCGCGTACAATGCTTTCGTCCGCGCGATGGCAAAGATAGCCAGGACCGTTAATTTCGGTGCGAACAGGTAAAATTTACGCGCGCGATCCGTTGGCAACAATTAGCCGCTTATTTTCTGCTCGGCAGTGCTCCCATTTCGCGACGCTAATTATCATCTGACCGGCCAAATATCTTTTCCGATCCGACCAACGACGGAATTCTATTTTCACCTGGTCATCCGATAGATCACGGAATTGTAATTAAACGGACGAAAAGGCAGTCAACGCCTTGGCTAATGGACGCGAAGCTACGCTCATGTTGAACCAACGTACCACAGGTGACCGTGGAATGAAAATTCCATCGCTGGCAATTCGACGGATGGAACGAGAAAATTGAGGAAAATTGAGATGATCTCGAATGAGAGAGAAGTCACGTTTATCACGTTCCAAGATAACTTCTTACTTCTTCAAATATCTACGCAAAGTGCTTGTTTTCATCAAATTTGCATCGACTTTTATCTCGAACAAAGTGTAACATGGGCTCTCACTCGAGATCACGGGCTCAGTTATCGTCAACAATTGTATACTGCGTAACGATTCGATTGGTTCATCGAAGCTCAATTTGTTCGTTGTCCCACTACTTGTTTATCGGTGTCGTTGGATTACGACGTAAAATGCCAAGTTTTCGTCCAATTTTTCATCGGTTTGTGATACGCGGACACTCGCGTTACAACATTCTGGCAACGATATCGGGTCTCGTCGACTCGCACACCGTCGGATAGAAAACGGCTCGACACGGGTCTTCGCGAGTACTCGAGGTGACTCCACCGGATCTTTGGATCGAACATTTTCAAGAACATCGTTTCATCGTGAAAATATTTTGCCTTTTTATTACGTATGCGTTTACCTACACGTACAACAGAATAAACTGAATTGTTATCTACGAACGAGACACGTCCTATACTCGGGGAAACTCGGGTAAGTTTTCATTTGCGACAGGGTTGATTTCCACACGTTATACGTTGACGTACTTGTACGTTGCATCGGTGATCTTGTTTACGGACATATGTGAAAATGGAGTAAAATGTTGATCGCAACGAAGCGCCTGCGAATGGCGGTGGTTTACGAGAGAGAAATGGAGGAAAATTATGGAAAACTCACGGTGATCGAGATGAGAATTGGCGACGAATGCTTTGCCAGTTGGACATTCCAAGCTGGTATTAGCGGTAGCGGCGGCGTTGCCAATGCCCTGCAGGTGGTAATGCCCGAAGGACGGACCCCTGGGCGCCATGATGGCCGCGATGCTGAAGTCCGTCGCTTTTCCCCTTTCCCCCTTTGTAGGCATCCCTTCTCGGCCGACGACACTTTGATTCCAATTTTTTCCTCGCGTTCTCTTCTCGCCTCCGATGTCCGGTGCGCTGCTTCTGCTTCTCCTTCGACGTCTCTCTCTCTCTCTTTCTCTCTTTCTCTCTCTCTCCCTCTCTCTCTCTGTCTCTCTTCCCCTCTCCTTCTTCCTCTTCCTCTTCCTCTTCTTTCTTATCTTTCTCTTTCTGCCGATTTAAACGCAACGCAACCACTTTGTCTCGCGTTCCCGTAATAATTACCGACTGTATCACCAAGCCTGACACGCGCGAAACAGACGAGTCGAAACTACTCGAATCCTCGTCGTTGGTACGCTGGTTCTTCTGGTGCCAGTTGAATCGACAACGCGACAACGACGATCGTCGACGACCACCACCCGCGCGCTGCTTCCCATCGACCTCTCTCGTTGACTACTCGAATCGACGAGGATCAACGAGGAGAACGCGGTCGAAGGAGGAACGTCGGAGAGCGTGCCGCGCGACAAATACGCGAGTACGCGGCGCGTTCGGTCGGTGACGTTGCTGCAAAATGATGCCTGCCAGTTGCTGGTGGTGCTGCTCGAGATGTAAATCCGAAAACGACGAGAGAGGATCGACGGCGGCGCAAAACGAACGCGTCTGCGCTGCTCGACTTCCCGGACTCCACTGGGCTACCGCTCCTCCTCCCACGCGCACCGCTCTCCCCACCATCGACTTAACCACGGCAACGACGCTCGAGCCTGGCCGTTCGCGAAGCCCCCGATAACGACGTCGAACCGCGATCGCCGCTGCGACCGAGAGAGAAGGAAAACGGAGCCAGGCATCCTACGGGCATCCCCTGTTGGGCGTTGCCTTTCGGGGCTTCCTCGGAGCCGTTCGAGGCGGTCGGCTAAACCCGAGGGATCGAGCACCCGGTCACGTGACACAGCTGAACCGAGGAACACACGGGAGAACCACGATACGTAGGAACGTGGAGGCAAGGGCGGCGCGCACCCGGGGGCACCTTGTTCGAGGCCACGCCTCCGTTAACCACCGACACGACCACCGCCGATATAAGTATACCTTCGACCATCGCCGTATCGCTATCACCACCACTACCGCACGCCGCCGCCGCCGCCGCCGCTGCCGCCACCGCCTCCATCTCCACCATCGTTATACCACCGATCGCGGAGGTATCTCGAAGCGGCGTGGCAGCGGCACGGTGGTCGCGCAACGACGAAAGAGAGATCGATCGACCCCCTCGTGCACCGGATGGCCGGCGTTTGTACGTATCTACGTACTCTATGTACCACTGCTGTACATACATTGGCGTAGAACCACGCCGCGTCCATCTTTCCCGTCTTTCGTTTCCCGATTGTTCGATCACTCGCCACGTATCTAACTGCCGAGGTTACTCGCGTGGTATACTCGACATCGCTTTCTTCCTTTTTCACGATTCTGCGTGGGTCACTCTCTTTAAATACTCGATTCGGTTGACTCCGAGCCGAGGAATTACACGAAACTAGAAAAGTCAACGTTGAGTTCTGTTGCTATTTATTCTATAAGGTGTGTCACTGTTTTTCTGAATAGCATGCGTAGCTCCGTCGTGGCTTCGTTCGATTGTTCAATGTCGACGCCTTGAAACGAGAATCCGAAGGATTTGTTGAATCGTCTGGGTCGGCTACGCCACTGACGTTGGCCCAGGCGTCGCGATATACGTGTATCTACAAGCGGCTGCTAATAGAGGCGTACTCCGGTGTCGGATCGACTTTCTAGGTACAGGGTTCCGTCGCCGATTGCTCGCACTGAGAATTTGTTTAACTCTTTAGCAACCTCGAAGAAAGTTCGAGCCTAGGTAGGCTATCTTTCGCTCGCGATATTACACCATCTTTACACGTAAAACTTTTTTTTTTTTTAGTTAAATATTAGATTACCAAGTCTGGACGAATAACGTCAAAATTCTTAGAACGCTTCGTTTCTAACTAATTTGATATGGTGAAATTTTTAAAGTGCATTTTATAATGCACCGTTGCACGTCACCTTCTCCAATTCTGTGAGACGAGCGAGGGTGCAGATTTATCTACAAATATGACCCAATTATTAAAATTCCAACTCGCGACTCGAATCTGTCGCAAAAGTAAAGCAAAGGTACAAGTGGATACCAATTCTCACGAATAGAGTCATTTACAACTACAGCCAATGGAAGAAATGACCAAAGTTTCGATCTCGTCGTGATTTCTCCATCGCGGAAGAGGAAAGGGAGAAACCTGCTGTCGAAAACGAAGAGTGGAGAAAAAGACAAGAGGACGGTGGTAGAACAGAGAGAAAGAAGCAAAGAGTCGCGATAAAGACCGTTAGAGAGATTCTCTTAGATGTATCTCGATCGATCAAACGTCAAAAGGTCCACAGACTGTCGGTGTTCGAGAGGCAGCGTGGCACAGCAATCATGAAGAGAAAGAGAGAGAGAGAGAGAGATAGCGCGTGTTTTTACCACATTGGTCGGATGTTGGAGAGCACCGAGGGGAGATTTACGGCGTGTGTTTAGGCACTTAGCCGGTCTACCTAGCCCCCCTTTATTATACTAATTTCTCGGGCATGTCAAAATACCTATCGTTGTACCGGCCTCCTGAATTCTATTCGACACGCTGGGTGCCCCCGTAGTCGACCGCATAAAGGATCCCATCCCGTATAAAATATGAAGACCCGTCTCCTCTCTCCTCCTCTTTTTTTTTTCCTTCCTTCTCTCCTTCAGGTAGCTGAAAAGACGCGGAGTCGTGCACGAAGGAGAGCCTCGGAACGAACCGCAGGAACGCGTCCTGGACCCCCCGTTTCCTTTGGCATTCGAATGTTTTTAAGGCGGTTGCGGATGCTCCGAGGTGTCACCGTCCCCTTTCAAATTCGTCACCCGTGGTGAAACTCGCCGTTTAACAGGCTACGACTGTATCCACTTTAGCCGAGAGTTTCTCTTCGTGTACACGCTCTATCTGCGCGCAACTTTCGTCGAACGGGCGAAATTTTACGAAAAACCTCGTAAACGTAAACTACCTGCGCGATTGCGATCGAGAGCTACGTCTCAACTATGAGAGAATAACGCCTTCGAGCTCGTCCTTTTTACTTTACGAAGGGGAGAGAAAAAAATCAACGGGATGAGAACAGGCTGATCGAGAGAAGAAAGGAAGTGTTCCAGAACTCTTTTTTTAATTGCGCTAAAAAGACGTGTTACGCACGTCGAGACGTTTTTATCGCCGGTAGACAATTGTCAACGGGGACAAAAATGATGTGCGCGACACGTCGATCTTTCCAAGTACAGTTTCAGATTGCACTGCGTCGTCATGGAGTCATCGACACAGTATCTCGTACAAATATACATATTTCGAAATTTTTGCAGTTCGCAATATATTTTATTACGACGCAGGCAAGTCAAGTAATAAATTTATTTTATTTTAGTGATTTTTAGTGGATGTAGGGGCTCTGACCCTACAGTCTTCCAGTTTATAACACATTTTATTGTAACTCAGGTAAATCGAGTAATAAATTTATTTTATGTTAGTAATGTCTCGCGGATGATATTCCAGACTGTGTTTAAATAAATCACACTGCAAAAGATTATCAATAAACAAAATTAAAACGTTAATATCTGTGTAAATAAAAAGTGTTCATTCCTAAGACTCTACCGAGTCTTCACCTCATGGCGAGTTACACTGTACCGTTCTAGCATCTGTGAGTTTGCTTCCAGCGCAAGTGGTTGACATTATTTTTTTCGTGATTTTACCGTCAAGTCTTAACGCGTGCGAATTTTTATTTTTTAATGCTATCCTCTCTTGTACGTAAAAGTAAAAAGAAAAATCGCGAGAGAAAAGAGAGGTGAACAACGAAGCTGGACGAAGCAGATGGGTGCGAAGACACGGTAGGATCGCGACACGACCCGCACAGTACGATGCAACGGAGAAGTACACGAAAGGTCATTCATCATCGGAAGAGAGGAGAGGCTGCGTGAGCTTGGCCGTTGGTGGTTACCGTTGGTGGAAAGAAGGTAGAGGTGGCAGGCCACCCACGCCGTATACACTCGAAATTCGGTGGCATGGCTGATTCTTCGACGAATGGACCGTCATCGTTATCGGGACTCGTCGGATGTAGTTGTAAATTCGCGCAAAATTCTTTGTCACGTTCGTGACGCGAGAAGCAAAGCGATACGAAATCACAATAACATAATCAATCCTCTTAAAAGTTCATTTCAATGCATCGCTACTCTGCCTGATCAGAGGCAGTTTTCTCTTTTCTCACTTGCCATTATCCTGAGCTTGCATCCCGTTATAGTTCAACCTTCTAGATTCGCGCAGATTGTAGATTGAACTGGATAATCGAAAGATCAATTTCTCCGAGCATTGTACACAGGTTATTGCGATCGTTCAATTATCGTAACAGACACCGTTCTTTTTCTTCTTTTTTTACCAAGATTAATAAAATTAAAATTAAATCTTCAAGAGGGAAGGACTACCGCCGGTGCGCATCGGAGCAGAGTGCCAAAGCGCAGCAATATCGTGGACGAGAGGGATAAACTAAAATCTTTCATGGCACGAGCTTCTCGGCATCTCGAGTGGCTTCTGGAGAGGGTAAACACACGGTTTCTTTCCCTCGCCCCTCCGGGCGTTCCTAATAATAACAACGAAATTGCTGTTCGCGGCAGCGATAACGAGGAGACGATGTCGGGGGAAGAGCACCAAGAGGACCAAGCGTGGTAAACGTTGAAAGCGAAAAGGAGGAGGACGAGTTTCGACGCGGCTCTCTCTCTCTCTCTCTCTCTCTCTCTGAACAGGGACACTGAGGACCCCGGTTTGTCAAGAGAGGGAAAGAGAGCGATCTCGAGGACCCCGGTCGGCCGTCGAGAGCGTCGCGGCGCCAGTTTTCTCCTCTCGAGGGGAATCGAGAGAAACACTGCGCGCGAGTATGTATACAACTCGTCTTTTCGGCCGCTTTTGCATCAAAACGAGCCGCGTCGTTAACCGACAGGTCCAACGATGTGTGTATATGTGCATCGCGCGCGCACGATTATTCGAGCCAAGCGTCCGCCAGCCACGCAGGGATAAAGCCGCGAGATACGAGCGACGATCGAACGACGATCGAATTGCCCGTACGGGCAACGAGCAACGATTATTCAAATGAAATCAGATAGGAATCGCCGAAAA